GCTTGCCCAGAAATATGGAGGCAGTATCACCTAACAGTAAGTAGAAACACCTTTTTATTTTGTCCCACACCTGGCCTATTTACTCTTCTGTGAACGGCTGACCATAAAATAGAGACAAGGATCTTTTGAAGAAAGTTAATAAAATATCGAAGGAGAGTTAGAAAAGAAGAATGCAAGAATATCTATGCTATTTTTTTTTCTTCCGTGTTCTTCTAAACAGTTTGTGCAATAGAAATCACCTGTGGTAACACCCTGTCGGTTTGCTGGTTATAGCTTCTTCAGAAGTACATAACAAGAATGAAAAGTCTCCTTTAAACACCAACAATATCAGTAGGCATATTGTGGACACTACAGGAACTGTTATAGTTTCACTGTTCTTGTGATTAGTTGCTTTGATGAGATACCAAAATTAGAAATAAAACAGATTTTTGATATCTGTTTATGAGGAAGTTTATAAAGCACAGTCAGAACGTACTAAAAAACTTTCACTTTAAGTGACTATTAATAGTATGTATATTTGTGGTAAACCATGCAAAGTTCGGTCTTCATGATTTATCTAACTATATCTGAATTTGTCATGGAAAGTTAGAATAGCTGTTGGCAAATCATAAAGAGATGAACTGGCTCAAGAACAGAACTTATTTGTGAACTGTTTTTTCTTAATTAGAAGAAAATATAGTTGATAGATGGATGATACATATGGCCACAACAGTAATTTTGAGTTCCCCTATTTTTCTCTATACTTTCGTATGAACTATTTCTTTTTAATCTTATATACTTTTTACAATAATACATTTCTGAAATTTCCTTGATTGTGCATTTGTTGGCAGAATCAGAGATGGCTTAAATAGGCATCATTATATTATGATGTAGTTTCTCTATTCAAATAGGAATTTAATATGGAGAAACTACTTAGATTATTATTTGGCTATTTTAATCTTAAGGCTGCAAGAAGTATCACTTCTAAAAAAGTTTTTAGATGAATTAATAAACTTTCATTTAATACTGTCTTTTGGATTCTGAAAAGAAAGGATACAATCTGCTTGTGTGATTCTGATACAGGACTTTATATTTTTTATTGGTTCCCATATTGATAGAATAGAACAGAATATTCTCTATTAGCCAAATGTGATTAGACACACACAAGGAATTGCAAATACATTAAAAACAATGTGTTATCTATCTAAATTGTTTTCAAAGAACATCATAAAATGAACACTACAAAATACAAAATGTGAAGCTGTTTATATGGATGTACCATGGGCATCTTTACATTAGTCCTCAAAATTATGAAATAACTACTAATTCATATTTGAATTTATATGCTCATGTTAAAACAATACATTCCACATTTATCTAAGTACAGTTGAATCGAGTTGTAATATTTTGCAATAAACCAGAATATGAAGTATATAGGAAATCTGCAAAAGGAAAACAAATTTAGTGTAACATACTAATATATACCATGTAGATAATCTTTTAATCCTACTTATTATGCATGTTTATTAAAGGGTTATATAAAATGTGTGGTTATTTTCTCATGCATAAGCAAAATGTCTCTAATTAATTGCTATGAATGCTTCAGATCAATAGAACATATTTGTTATTTCTGAGACTTTGTAAATTTTATTCATTTTGCTCTCTTACTAAGAGAAGGGGTGCCATCTATTGACTCACTGTGGTTACCACAGTCAAAATCATATTACCAATAACAATGGCTAAATAAAGTAGCTGATAGTTATGGATTGCCTTTATCCTTTTTCTGACATTTTTGGCACACCAAAAATCTTGGTGACATTTTCAGAGTGCTGCCAGAATGAAAAGTGAAATAAGAGATTTGGAAAGCATAGAAGATTAAGACATGATACTGTAAATGAATACATATAGTTTTAAACAAACACATACCATAAATCATATCCTTTTTTATATTATGCATATTAAACATAAATTCAGATTATTTCATAAATAGCGATGTGCTATTTTCAGGATTTTCTACGACTCATAAGGTATGTACCCTTCAGCCTACATTAACATATTTTTTACATGTGAGTTGCAAATCTATCCACACTGCATTTTCCATTAGGTAGGTAAGACCTCTATCCATTTCATCTGGCTTAGAAGCACCTTACTTTCCCTGGTCTTCTTGACTTCCTATATATCATACTAACATTAAGGAAAACATATGACAGTTTTAGATGGATTTTATATTGATGAAAGATGAGTCCCTATGGTCTTATCAATGCAGAGAACTGTTGGCCTTGAGTACACATTGTTTGGGATTCAGAAGGGTATATATGCATCAGAAAGGTGATGGTTGATTCTCCCTTCCACTAGCTGCCCTTAAGGCTTGCAAAAAGAGTGGAGAAGGATGCTGTCTAGGAACCATGAGAGGCTGCTGACAAAAGATGAAGATTAGAACCATGTATGTACGTATGATGCTGTGGAAACGAATCATAATAGCACCATTACAATATATATCCTCCTAATTGTGGAAACGAATCATAATAGCACCATTACAATATATATCCTCCTAATTGAATGTTCCACTGCTTCAACTAGTAGAGCATCCTGGAAAATCAGTGATGATTATATACCAGTCACTCTACCTGGCTTTGTGCTTTCTGACTACTTTTTTTATTCATATACTTACAGATTGTCTTTTGATCATAATATTTTCAAGAAGATGTATGGGAGGGACAGTAATATAATTTAAGCTGTGAACAAAGACCACTTTCTTTCATTCAGAGTTGCCCACAGTGATCCAAAATAGCAGTATTCAGCTCTATTTTAATTATAATACAATTATAATTGTCAGGTTAAACAGCTTTAATATTGTGATGTTTTCAAAATTGTATTATTTTTTTCCACTAAAGTCTTATGTTAATTTATTAAAAAATGCCAGCCATACTGTGTTGGGTAGGATATCTTAGAATAAAACATGTATTGCGTCTTCATTGGAATTAATCATAATCAAAATATGTTTAATTGAGATTTCACATGTACAGCAGGTGTCATATAAAGCCAGGTAAATCTTATAAAATTATGTTTATATGTTATATCAATCCTTTTCAAGGAAAGAGATTATCATCCATTTTAAAATGGCAAAGAGTATAATTTATAGATTACATACAAAATTGCATATGCAATAAGAATTGATTTGGTTTAAAATCCTTTAGAGTAAAACGAATTTCAAGCAAAAACAAAGCTTTATCAGCATATGAACCTCTTTCTATTTTACTTGTGATGCTTTTCTTTATATTTAAAGCTATTTGGCAATGGATGTTTTTTTTTTCCCCAGGGGATTATGATTTTTTTCTGTTACCGTGTTTTGTGCATGCACTTTCCCCATGATGACCACCAACACATCATCACAATTTGGCTACTGGACACTGTCATATAACAAGCTTTAAATTCATATTTCTGTTCATATATTAATATTAAAAGAGAACATAGAATTTCTAATTTAATAGATATATTTGAAATACATGATATTACAAACATGCTTTGCTTGTTTAATTTAAATGTAGATTTTTTGACTTTTACACAGTTTTCTTTCAGTCTTCAAGCTAATCCCAGAAATAAGCTCCAAAGAAAAAGATTGAATGACATTACAAGTAAATGTGCCCAGCTTTGTTGTACTGAGAACTCTTCAGTTTTATTGTTTAGAATTTAACTTCAAAATGCTACCCTACAAAATTGAAAATATTTACCACAATATTCTTGGGGGTTGGATGAATGGTGGAACTCATTTGAAATGATTACTAACTTCCATTGATTTTTGTGAAAGAAAAACTTCAGTAATAATAAGATTGGCAGTTAAGAGATACTTTATGTTGAAAATAAAACAACAAATCCTGACTTATTATTTAACCAAAGTGTGTAAATAAATTATAATAGAAAAGATTTGGTAGATAACATATGGTAATTTTTTTCTTTATTTTCTAGGAAACATTGCTTTGCATTTTGAAAATTTTCATTGAAAATGATTAAATATTTTGATATTATCAGAATTTCTTTAGTTACGTTGTACATAAATACATAATAATATCGAATTAATTTCTTAATTCAATCATTAATCCTTTTTTTTTCTAGATTAGAACACTGCTAGAGTACATATTGAAATAGTTTTATCTTCCCAAATAAGTAAAAGTACATTATCTGGTGTGTAACAACAACACTGCTTGCCTACCTCCAATAATGGCAATACCGTAATGAGATGGAATGGCAGCAGTATTTACTTTTACTTCTGCTTTAGATATTACAGCTGTAATTCTGTGTGCATTATTTGGGGAGTAAGTTTCATTTGAATTCAGCAGAACTTGTCACTTAACATGCATGCACTCAATAAATGTTTCCAACATGCTAGTCTTCTATATAAGGCACTTGATAAATTAATAATTCTTATTACATTGAAAATTGAGCTGTCATTTATATGTTGGACTGAGTAAAATGTAAAATAAGTTTGTAAAAAAAAAAGATTTTCCCTAACACAAGACAGCAAACATACATTATACTCCTTCCTTCCCTATTTTCCCCACAATAAGAGTTCTATGAGATGGGTTGGGTTGGGAGAGAGAGTGACTGACCCAAAGTCATCCAGCCGTTTTTCATGCCTGAACCAGCACTAGAACTCACAGTTTCCTGGTTTCTAGCCTGGTGCCTTAACCACTACACCAAACTGGCTATTAATATTATTACAAGTGTTTGAAGTGTTTAATGTATTTAAATATTTACAGAAATTCACTATTAGAAGAGAAAATATTCTGTACATGTTAACATTCCAAAAGCAGATTTTAAGATTACGGTAGGTTGTGGGATGAAAGGGGAGGGAAGTTATCCCTTAATTGGATACATTGGGGAAATTTTCATATTTATTATTTATTTTTGCTTGTTGGTCACTTGTTTCTAAGGATTGGTATACGATACCACTAACGTCCCTTCATGTGTCAAATGTAGTTGCTGACTACAAAAGCTCCTAATAATAATAATAGCAGCAGCAACAATAACAACCATGTTTTTCTATTTTTAATTTGTCT